AAGAAGACGACGACGATGATGACACGTTGGGGGAGAGGTGGGGGGTGGGGGAGAGGTGGGGGGTGGGGGAGAGGTGGAGAGGTGGGGGGTCAAGGAGACGCCGCCGCCGTCACCGCATCTGAATTTGACGCGAGGAACGAGTAAGCTCGCGGAGAGATGACGCCTCCCCCCCCCCCCCCCCCCCACGAAGTCTCGACAAAATCCGCGTTGCCGAAGATTTACCGCCGTCTCCTTGACCCGCGAAGGACCGCGCGCTCTCGCGACGCTCAGCGCTCCCTTCAGCGCAGACAAAAAAACATCGCCGCGGTCGTCCCTTTGCCCCGGCTCGCGAGCGGCCCCGGCAGTTAAACCCCAGGTCGGCAATTACAGTCAGCAACACGGTACCCGCGGTTTTGATGCCCCGCGGTAAGTAACCGCTTCGTGTGCATTTATCTGTCGATGTCAGGGAGCCTCCGTTCACAAATCAGAACGTCGAGATGGCAGCCCCAGCGTGTGTATGTAGGAATTTATTTCGCGCCGTATGTGGCCGACCGTGCTAAATCGGAGGCGAGCATGCGATAGCAATTCCGCGTTTCTATGAAGGGAGTCAGCCTCATCACTAAATGACCGCTACTGACTTCCCCACCAAAGTGGAAGCAATATTCCCTGGAGGAGCAGGCAGTGGGCCGGGTCGACCCCCAAAGGGGATTTGAACCTCGCGACCTATCGATTTGCCAGTCAATCGCTCTTCCACAGCAACGTGAAATGGACATACAATATGATGTGTGTAAAGGATGGCGTTACAATGCAACTCGCTGAAATATGGACGAGGATATCTACAAATCACCCCTCCACCTCCCCCCCCCACCCCATCCCTGTATCATGAATTGTCACGATTCAGCACCAGAATTGTCACGATTCAGCACCAGAATTGTATTCAATGTTGCGGTTCAGGATTAGCACCTCTAGTGGCTGCAAGGGTGTAGTGAACCCACGAAACATTCTGAATTTATAAAACACACTGGGCCTTGATAATTTGAAGGCATGTGTGTACTGTATGTTGAACTTCTTTAACACCGTACGTAGCCAACCGTGCTAATCGGAGGTGCGGGTGGTTCATCAAGCGATGCATCAATCCAACCACGACACCCAAAGAAGTATCGTTGAGCTTCGAGTTCTCAAACGCTGCACAGATGCGTCAGAAACCTGTTTGCTGTAATTCCCACCTCTCGTTGTCCTTAGAGGTAAATATATCTCACACTAATATATAAATATCTCACACACGATCTCCGCATGATCCACCAGCTCCATTCTAGATTACGGATGCGTACCGACAACATACCACGCACAGCTCTGATTTAATATGAACACCGATTCAGTGAGAATGCGGGAGTGCCAGAGTGCACGTCTCATACCAAACATTAACATCTTAAAAGCGCGATTATCGTAACGAAAGGGACAGTCGAAGAGCTGAACACACATCCAAGACGACGTAAATAGAGAAGATGGAGCATTGAAATCGGTTAATACGCGGATGGATTGTCGCACCGCAGAATCACGAGAGGTGGCGGTAGCTTGGGGGAAGGGCTTCACATCCAGCAGTGGACTGAGCATGGCTGATGATGATGACGACTACGACGGGGGTATTGGCCGAGTTGTGCGATACAATGCATCGTTGCGCAAGGCAGGAGGAGCGTGTTGCCGTGTTTGTGTGTGGTGGAACGCAGCGATTGCAGCGCCGAGGTTCATCCCAGGGATTGTATTTATAGCCGCGCGCATCCGCGATGCGCCGGGCGCATTTGCTTAACAACCCCGGCGCTAACGAGTCTCCACTCGTGCACAGACACGCAACGCGCGCACACACACACGCGTGCACGCCTGGACACACACACGCGTGCACGCCTGGGCACACAAACTCGCGTATGGCCCATCAAACAAAGAGAGCGCATGCACTTCCCAACACAAAGATCCCCCGTATAGCCTTAACGGACTGTTGGGGCAAGTGCTGTTCGCGAGCACCGTTTAAGGCCAGCACGCAACACGTGTGTGATTTCGAAAAGTTTTTTGGTTTGGCCGTGTTTTTGTTTATTGTAGTACGGAGTTAGACTGATGGCCTAAATCTTAGTTGTCTTGTGGTTGTTGTTGTTTGATTTGCATCCCACTGGGATTTTTGCACACAGCGCTGGTGTACGGTGCTATTTCAGGAATATTTTGATGTTTTTTTCCTGGATTTTCTGTTTACCATGTCACATAGTCACTTAAAGATGTTTTCTTGTTCATGTTTTTGTTTTTTGTTTGTTGCGATTGCACCCGATTCAAGAGCCGAATGGCTCACAGGGCTATACCAAATAAATGGAACTATGAAATAGAACTATGAGTGGGGTGGGTGGCCAGTATAATGCCCGGCCGCCTTTGTCTCCCCAGTGGCGATGTTTACACACCATACCAGGTACTCATTTAAAGCAGAGTTGACGTGAGCGGGAGCTGGACTTGGGTCGCCGGGTTCGTAACACAGTGCATTAACCACGATGCTATGCACCAATCCACACAAACGCGCATGTACACACACCGATATATCCACACACACACCAATACACACCCATCTACACATAGTCACAAACACACATATGCACTATCCATCACACACACACACACATACGAGCACACCCACCCACACTATCCATCACATATGCATACACCCTATGCATCCACAAATACACTCGCACAAACACACGCACCACACACACCCACACACAACCATCCAATGAGCATAAGAACACACGCCAGTCCATTCATACACACGTGCAATACACAACCTCTAACACACACACATATATACACGCGCATATCAGCAAACCCACACACCAATCCACGCTCACATGCGCACACACATAAAAAATGCACGCGTGTCCATGCATTAACGCATGTACACATAAAGACCTCCTAATATGGCATTAACAGACTTGGGCAAGTGCAGTTAGCGAGCACCTATCAAGGCCGGCATGGCACACGAGGGTGGGTGGCCAGCACCACGCTCAGCCGCTGGTATATCCCGAGTGGAAATGTTTACACAAATCACCAGGTACTCATTTGAGGCTGAGTCGACCTAGGGGAGGCCCAGGACCGGTTCAGATAATCGTCACTGGTATTGGCTGTGAGCGGGAATCGAATTTGGGTTGCTAGGTTCGTAGCGCAGCGCGCTAACCGCTACGCTACCGCTCCCCCAACATGTACACACACATGCACAAAGACACACCCGCAACATCCATTCATATACAAACCCATGAGAAACACACACATCCATTACACACACAGAAATATTTAACCTTCCACGAAAACACAGAGCACATCCATACATCTGTGAACACATACATGCACAAGCACACAGCCATGCGCCACACACGCTCAAAAGCCACACACAAACCGATCACACGTCCACACACACACACACCAAACGCGTGGAGATCACCGATTAAATAAAGTCACCCATGTGAATTCCAGCGATGTTCTAGAAAGATGGTATCTGGTACAGATACGCTCAAGCCTTTGCTTTACAACTATGACTTGAAATTCACAATTTGGGTGCCATGCTGGTCCATGCCGAAACCAAGAATAAACATTCCGTAACATGTATTTTACATTTAACTTAGCCTACGACTAACTCCCAATGTTCTACACTTGCACAACAATGTCACGGGCTCTTTAACATTCCCCCGCCCCCACCCAAAGCTTAACTTCGTATAAACCTAGGCAGCTGCGTGAAACGAGATCTCGGTACTTCACGCAAAAATCAGTTTTTTCGTTGGTGCTCGCCGGCACGCTCCGGGTAAGGTACAACCGAACCTCCAGGTGCCGGGAGGGGGAATGTTGCAGAGATTTTCAGGGCTGCAACGTGGAGTTCACTTCTCCACACATTCCACCTGCCACTATCTGGAGTTCATCTGCACTTTACCCAGAAGTGTATCGATGACCACCACGTGAACAATCGGTTACAATCAGCGTATCAGAAAATTACTTGGGGAGGGGTTGATGGCGACCGCGCACGACGGCTAGAGGCCTAATCCAACCAGTCGATTGAACATCTCCTTCTCCGGGAACTACCCAGGGTGTGCCTTGCCCTGCACAGCCTTAGCGATTGACACTCAGCTCAAGGACCCTGTTTGCCCCATCCCGTTTGTGAACGAGCACCAGCATTGGCACGTAGCTGCGACAGCGACGGCCCGATGGGGAACCCTTTGTCGTGTCCGGGGGTCTTATTTTGGCCCTGTGAATCTCGTGAGACAGAGATCGTTAACGCATTACAATCTCCCCCTGCTTAAGAGAGCAATCAGGATCAGAATATTCATTTAGATTGAAGAATCCCATGAACTTTAAAGCTCTTTTTCACAAATGTCCAGAGAAAGCGGTGGAAATTCTACATTCCCGTGACGAGGGCCAGTATATCCATAGGACAAACCATGGTTGACTTCCCACAAAGTGGATATCTATTTTATTTGTCAAGGAGAACCCGCCTGAGGCATTGATGCATTTAGCAAAATCCAGCGTAAGGAGTCTGCCTTCAGTGTGGGAGGAAACCAGACAACCTGAAGACAGCACAGCCTCACAAGGGGACAACACTACAAGCTCTACGTACGTGTTCATGAACTTGCTGTACTGCTATCTTATGGCCACTTCACAGCTCTTTAGACACTGTGAGAGTTCTGCAAATCTACACAATCCACCAACTTGTGCCTCTGAAGTTCTGGAGAAAAGGGTTCCGTTGCGGTTTACCTCCGATTACCTCCGATTAGCATGGTTGGCTTACATACGGTGCAAAAGAAGTTCAACATACACACCATACAGCGACGTTGCAATGCTACGTTCCCTGTGGCATGATGCTCGACAGTCGGCTGTGGCAAAGCAGCGTCGCACTCCTCTAACGAGCAGCATAGGCGGGCGGACGCTCGCCGTGGCCCGTGCCACTCGGTACGAGGGTGCAACTGCTCCCTCCCCTCCCTCCCCTCCCTCCGTAGGGCACTCACCTTGATGCGATTCGAGGAGACCGGTGCCACGAGCTTAAACGAGGGGAGCGGGCGTCGCTGGGAGCAATGCTGTGCCGGCTGGTGATGGGGTTGTGACGACGGCGGGGGTGCGGGGTGGGGAAGAAGGGGAAAAAAACAAAGCTCTCCGGGGTTCTTGTGGCCCTCGGGAGAGAAGGCGATGAGAGCGAAGATCGGCTCCTTTTGTGACGCTTTAAAATAGCGCAGAAAATCCACAGGAATCCCGACGTCCGCGTCACTCGGCTTAAAACGGCATCGCTGCAACCACCACCGCCTCTGCTGAGCGTGGCAGAGCGGCCCCACGTGGCTACAACCGGAGACGGAGAGGCGACCGGGGTCTGCGGCTGCAAGCGCTCGCTTGCTCGCGTGCCTGGAAAAAGTCTCGTGTGGCGGGGGAAGGGGGGAAGCGGCGAGTCGGGCGCCGTCAGGGCCGGCGTGCGCCCATGTCGTTGGCGCGTTTCGGCCGCGCGGGTCGCTCGGGTTCACTCGCGTTGCTCGTCGATCGACGGGTCGGCTGGAGGGACGGGCGTTGCCGAAGGATGGACGGACGAGTCCCGGTTTATCCCGCGTCCATTGCCGTCCTGGGCGTCTAAACGCGGCGGCTGGCGAGATGGCGCGGTAACGGAAAGTCAATGTCTCTGCCCGCTTTCGGCCAAAATCTATTTTTGCGCATGCGGACCTCGGTTGCCCCGTGCGAGAGTGGACGCCACAATGCAACGGCGCTCACGGTCGGTGCGCAGCACTCAACTGCCTCGGCGATCTTGGCCGCGTCCCAACGTCGCCGGACTTCACAGAGGAGAAAAAAAAAACTACGCCTTGACATTCAGAGGTGGGTCTGGCTGCACACGCCGGGGGAACTTACAAAAGTATTGTTTTGTTCTTTTGCGCTTTACTTCCGAAGCCAATTTTTCTCGGCACTTTCCCCGCGTGCATTTTCTTTCGCGCAAATTTTCTTTTGCCCGTCGAGATGCACGAGCCTTCGCCCGATAAGAACAAAAAATAACACTCAAAGTGAACCGTGAAGAAACGCACGCATTCTAAGTCAGCCGTTTCCCCACATTCCCTTTTGCAGGGGCCTCCTCCTCCTCTTGCTCAGCCGACCGGTCTTCTCGGCTTCTTAATTAATGCATCAGCCCTCGTCAAATCAACGGGGTCACAACCGAGGGCCTTTGTTCCGAGTCGCTGGCACGTTTCACGCTTCCAAACTCTGCCCTGTTGCTGCGGCCGCCCCTAATTGCGGCGAGGTGGTTTCCTTTCCCATGATGCAGTGCGGCCGCGCCGTCGCACAGAACCCTAGGGGAGGATGAGGAGAAACAAGGGCAGGAAGGGAAATAATGGCACCGTAAAAAAAAATCAATTCACACGAAGATCCCTGTTGTGCGTGTTTCATCCAATCAGATTCATTGCACGGATCAAGGCGTCTTTCAACGTTCACGTCACGAGTTTTTCTTCCACGTTGGGCAACAGCTGGATGCTCGGTTAAAATTCCACGCTCAGATTCCTCGGCAATTCTCTTAACGGAGTAAGCAAAACTTTAATGAAACGCGTGCATGCATATTTGATGCTGCATTCATGAGCACAGTTATTAAAACAACAAACTCTTTACAAGGTGCCACTGATGAAAACGGCCACCGGGTAACAAACAACAGGCGAGCACTCGCCGCAACACAAATTGCTAATCAATTCGTGAATGTAAAACCGCGTTCCGCTATCGGTGGGAGTCGTCAATGAGGCATGGCGACCCCATCGAGCGGAGATGCAGGCGGCGCGAATGTGCACGGCGCCGACAACTAGCATCGTCGGGACACTCTCAGCCAGCGGGCGAAACTCCACATTCATATGTCCGCGGGGGGACCAGTATATGTCGACCGAGTAACCGCCGTCAACCTGTCATCGAGAGGCGTGTGTGTGATAAGACGGTGACGACGGCGAGACGGCTGTCGGCACGTTCCGGATATCTCAAAAGGTTAACCGCCTCACGGAAGCACATCTCAAACGTGTTAACCGCTGCCCGGCGTACGCGATCCGATATGCCCGGCGCTCGCTCTCCGGTTTCGGTAAAAAAGTAAAGCGCAGAGGAGGCGACCGCTTTAGCGGGATTTGGTTTCAGCGGGAATGCCGGTTGGTCCGCCGACCGTGTGACACTGCGCATCCGCGCCCACGTCCTCGCCGGGCGGGACGCTCCATCCGTCAGCGCCGTCGCCGCCTCCGCTACCGCCTTCAAAACAATTTCGCGGTTCAGCGATCGTCGGGGTCAGTGTGGCCGGTCGATCGGAAACCCGAGCGGTGGAGCGTGGTGGGGGTGGGTTTAGGGTCACGGGCCCGAGGTCTCCAGTCATGCACCGCGTCACGCACAGCAACGTGTCACGCGCCATCGTGTGTCAAGCACAGCAACGTGTCGCGCACCACAATGCACGCCTTTGTGCGGTACCGCGGTGCGGGAGGATGGCGGCACAGAACGACTTTTAGACTCGTTTCAACCGGACTCGCTCGCTCGGCACGACGTAGCGACACGCGGTGCGGTGTCCGAAGTGCATCGCCGTGTGCTAGTCAACTGAAAACATTTATCGATGTTGTGCTCAGATCCAGAGGCAGGGTGGGTGGATCGCGCAGATAGCGAGTGACGCGCAAGTGAGTGACACCCTAAACCTGTTGGGCTGTAACGTGGCCAGAAGGCAGTACCAGTGGGCTACTGAACAATATGTACGGAACATTGAGTGCCAGCCCCTTGCTTTGTTTTTCTCATGCAAAACAACTCATTCAACCGGAATTGGCCAAACATCCCAACGCAGGACTGGCTTAGGATGTTAAATCATTCCTGGCCGAATAAGGAACATTATCAGCGCTGTCATTGGCGGCGTACCAGAGACCAAACGCTCATTACGGTAGAGAACCCGGTTCAATCCCCGGTGACCTGAACCAGGAATTTAACCGGGTCGGGCTCAGTGCCCGCTCCGGCTGTCTAAGCTTGAAACCCATGAGAGCATTCTGCAGCAGATTCGCACGCGGCCGACTGCGCTCGTGAAGCGGCGACGGGCTGCCCTCGCGGGCCAGACGCGCGCTCCCACGGCGGCCTGACAACAAGGCCGCAGGGACGACACGAGGAACAACACGATTACGATAACGTTCATAACGTTCATAACCGGTGGTGGGGGTCACCGCTCGGTCCCACGGCCCAGCGGCACATTTACGAGGCGCCGCCGCCGCCACCATCGCCACCGCCCGGCAGCACCTGGGGCGAGGCACGCGAGGGGGACAGCCATCGGACGCGGGCCGCGGGAGACATCCGTCCTGCACCCCGCCCCCCCGAGCCTCGTAAAGTTCGGCGTGGCTGAGACAACAGAGCGAGGGGGGCGGTGCGCGAGGAGACGGCGGCAAGAGCGTGGCCGTCGCCGCGCCGGTCTTTAGGAATCAACGAGCCCGGCGCTTCCGCGCGTTCCGTCGTGGTAAGCCTGTCACCCCCCACCCTCCCACCCTCCCACCCCCCCCCCCCCCCCGCCACCAACACAGATAATTCGACTGAAAGGAGCGGATGCCGTGGGGAGCAGAGCCGGCACGCGGATCGGCCCGGTGCCGCGCAGAAGCAATTGTTACGGCGGCTTAACGTTCGCCAGCGACACATGGGCACCCCCGCCTCCCCCCCCCCCCCGCCCGTTTGCGTAATCAGAATAAATGACGTTTCTGCATGGGGTCGCGGTTGCTGCAAGTGGACGAGTGAACTCTCCCATGGGGCTTCGTCCCCTCTGTGGCCAACACAAAAACTCAACACGCTTTGTTAACAACGCTTCCCCGAAAGAGGAACACGCGCAGAACAGGCGACATGCACTACTGCCAAATCAGCATCACAAAGCAAACCTCTGGCCAATGCAGCGTACTCCCTTGTCCAAAATAATCAGTGAGAAAAAAAAACCGTGGCTTGCAGTCCAAGTGCGACTCTCCCGAACAAGTGTCGAAACCATCAGGATTCTCTGTGTCCATACTGCCGCTCACTGGTCACCGAGTTCATCCGTACAATTCCCGTTGGGGTCACGGAACGGGGAAACCCGCCCGGAACAAAGCAACAGTCTTGATACCATCGTGGAGATTCGCATCTCGCGGCCGCGTCGCCGTCAAACAGGGCCACACCTCAGGCTGGCTTTGACTTCAGCGAGTCTCGTTGGCAAGCACGTGGTCCACCACAAACCGCTTTCGCAGAAACCATGGCAGATGCAGATACCTGGTGATGCACCAATGGAAATTAAAAAAACTCTCCGGTGTGCGACTGTGGTCATCCAGAACAGACCGTACAACGTATCACGACGCTATTCACAATCAGCAAATACGAAAGAGACATCGCAGCGATGATACACTCCGGTACTCCTGACGCGGTGGTCTGTCTGGCTTGACCACCTCAATGTCAGATTGCAGTTGTTGCTCTGCAGCATCTACATCAGTAGTCGCATGACAAGAAGAAGCAACCCCCCCCACACACCATCCCCCCACCCCCCCGACCGCCGATGGGCTGCCCGCACAGCACACGCGGGGGAGGGGGGGAGAATCGGAGAGCGAGCGGAGCGTGCCGCTCGCCCTGCTCGCCCGTTCAACGGGTGCCACCACTCGTGTGCGGCCTGTTGTGCGTTTTTTGCTGACCGGATTCCAGCCGAAATTCCACCTTTGAAAAGCTCTGCCTTTTCAAAGCGGAACGCCTCTCACCGTCTGTGTCGCAATAGAAAACACGCCGGCATCGCTCTTTCCCCCCCCCCCCCCCCCCCGTGCAACTGACGTGCATCAGCGCGCCATCGGGCTTCGTTTAGCGACGAGCACTTTTTACATCACTATATACGAACCTAAGGTGCTGGTGATTACGATGAACACAAAAGCGACACGCAATTTACGCCGAGAGCAAAACGCAACCCAAAAGCGGCTCCTCCTCGTGGATCTCGTAGCGAGCAATTCCGTACGTCTCGGACCGTTGGGCCGAATGATTCCGAACTGTTGTCAATAAGAACCAAAAACGGCAACGTTTTACGGTCAGGAATTGTAATGACGCTCGGCTGGTGATAGTCACCGTGATATCGCTCGCATACCCACTCCGACTGGACATCTGTGAAAAAGAGCTTTATAGCTCATGCATTGCTGCAGTATAAATCAATATTATGATTCTTCTGACACGTTTGAATGCAAATGCCAATGCAGTCATATTTATTCTTCAATGCAGCTTCAAACTAGTGCTGCATGGCACGTAACTTGCAGCCTCGGCGAGCACCCACTAGAGGTTTAAGTGAGCTACTAACGAGCCACATGCTTGCATAGCTGGGTAATACCGATCAAATGATGTTTTATTTTACCACCTTAAGGCCCACTGAGCTATATAGCTCTTTCAGCAGCGACCTGGCCACAAATGATAGTTCAACGTAAGTGGCTCATCGCGTGGAAATCTATAGCAGCCAAATAATCTAAACGCGCGTTGATTCTAAATGTGGAGGGAAAAACCAGAGGACCCGGATAAAAATCTACGTGATCACGAGGAGAATATGCAAGCACTCCAAATATATAGGTGTCAGGGTTAGGATCGAAAGCATGATCTCCAACATACCAGGCGAGGGATTAACATCTCGCCACAACCGTCAGCGCATGGCTTTCATTTCCCTCTGTTATTTCACACAGTTTGTATTTGTCACCAATGTCTTATCAGCATCCTGGCACACAGCACGGGGCACACAGCCCATGACATTTACATTAATTTGTACCCCTTCCTGTGTTGTCTTTCGAGGCCCCCCCCCCCCTATGCAGCAACTCAATTCCGCTTTCTCTTTGGCTCACTCCAAAACTATCGGCTAAATGATCCCTCCGAGCTGGGCTCGACTTGGGTTCAGTGCGAATGTAAAATCCATTACATATCACTTCTCTTCAGTTGGGGAGTTGGAAATTTGAACGTCGGGTCCTAATGACATTGGCTCTGTGCTCTAACACTGGCGCAGCTTAATGTCCTTAGCCACTTGATTAACTCTACTTTAAATGCAGCCATGCCAGACGCTAATGAGACCCACGTGGTCAGGGCCCGTGCACGCGTACCGATCCCCATTTCAAGTGACATAGGGGGACGACAAGAGGGCAATTAGTGGCGCTTGTTCAAACTCACAACTCGCCCCGATTGCCGCCCAACGCGTTTCGGCAAAAGTCCAGAAGCGGCGGTTAACGATGCGGGGACTCGACGTAGACTGGGTGACCGATCGCTCCGTTATGCACAGGGATTTCACACCGAATCCGTGCCGGCTTGCATCGTGCGCTTCTGGAACGCGCTTCCTTCCGAT